GTGTTAGCCAGGATGGTCTCAATCTCCTGACCTCGTGATCCGCCCGTCTCGGCCTCCCAAAGTGCTGGGATTACAGGCTTGAGCCACCGCGCCCGGCCGAAATGACAGTCTTTTAGTCCAGTACTTTCTGCTCCAGCTGGTGAAAGCACTTAAACTTGGCATTGATGGAGTGTGGTGCTGTGGATTGAGGCTTCTCTTTTTCTTTTGAAGGATGAAGAATGCATTCGGCCTGGTCCTGCTACAGACTTGAGTTTCCTGGAGAAATTGGAAGAGAAAGTGGGCAAACATGCACACTTCGAAACGTACATACTCTATTTGACCAGATTTTGCATGGGGGAAGATCATTGTATCTCCATTTTTTTTAGTATTTGGATAATGTTCTTCAAGAGAACAACTACTTCATACATAAAAATATCTTTATGATATACCACTCATAGATGTGCCAGCCCTTTGTTAGTAGAAATTAAGTGAATTACAAGTTTTTGTTTGTTTGTTTGTTTTGTTTTGTTTTGTTTTGAGACGTGGTCTTAGTCTGTCACCTAGGCTGGAGTGCAGTGGCATGATCACGACTCACTGCAGCCTCAGCCTCCCAGGCTCAAGTGATCCTCCAACCTCAGCCTCCCAAGAAGCCGGGACGACAAACATACACCTCCATGCCTGGCTAATTTTTATATTTTTTGTAGAGACAGGGTTTTTTATTGTTGTTATTATTATTGTCATTATTATTATTAGAGACAGAGTCTTGCTCTGTTGCCCAGACTGAGTGTAGTAGGGCGATCTTGGCTCACTGCAACCTTCACCTCCCAGGTTCACGTGATTCTTCTGCCTCAGCCTTGCAAGTAGCTAGGACTACAGACGTGTGCTAGTAGAGATGAGGTTTCACCATGTTAGCCAGGCTGGTCTCAAACTCCTGACCTCAAGTGACCTGCCCACCTCAGTCTCCCAAAGTGCTGGGATTACAGAAGTGAGCTACCGTACCTGGCCCCAAGACCAGATGAATGCTCCTGTGTTTGTGTTTCCCCTGCTACAAGATGGGGTTATTAATATACCTACCATCCAGTTTTGTAAATGATGCCATAAATTGCCTGGGTGCAATTTCTGGCCATGATAAAGACTTAGTAAATGGTGATGGCTTTCTCAGACCTGTTGTAGAATACTGGAAGGATAAGTAAATGAAATTGCAAAGGATAAGCACATGAAATTGTATAGTGAATCAAGAATGGAAAAATAAATTGGGGTACATTCACAAATGGAATAATATATCACTGTGCAATGAATAATCTGTAACTGCATGCAGTGATGTAAGTTACACAAATGTGATAGAAGTCAGACACAAAAGAGTACATACTATGGCCGGGCGCTCTGGTTCATGCCTATAATCCCAGTACCTTGGGAGGCTGAGGCAGGCAGATCACCTGAGATCAAGAGTTCAAGACCAGCCTGACCAACATGGTGAAACCCCGTCTCTACTAAAAATACAAAACTTAGTTGGGCATGGTGGCATGCACCTGTAGTTCCAGCTACTTGGGAGGCTGAGGCAGGAGAATCGTTTGAATTTGGGAAGCGGAGGTTGCAGTGAGCCGAGATTACGCCATTGCACTCCAGCCTGGGCAACAGAGCAAGACTCCGTCTCAAAGGAAAAAAAAAAGACTACATACTATATAATTCCAATGCAATGCAACGCATACAACTGGGTAAAAATTCATTTATGCTGTTACATGTCTGGTTGCAACTGGAAAGGGCTCAATGTGGGGGTTCTCAAGGACTGGTAATGAATGCTCTGCTTCTTAATCTGGGTGCTGGTTATACAGGCATATTGTTTTCAAAAATTCATTGAGCTGTACACTTAGAATGTATGTGTGCTGTCAATATATGTGACAATTTCAAATAAAAGTCATTTTAAAAAAATCAAGAATCTGGTCAGGCACGGTGGCTCATGCCTGTAATCCCAGCACTTTGGGAGGCTGAGGCGGGTGGATCATCTGAGGTCAGGAGTTCAAGACCAGCCTGCCCAACATGGTGAAAAACCGTCTCCACTAAAAATCCAAAAAATTAGCCAGGCATGGTGGCTCACACCTGTAATCCCAGCTACTCGGGAGGCAGAGGCAGGAGAATCGTTTGAACTCAGGAGGCAGAGGTTGCAGTGAGCCAAGATCACACCACTGCACTCCCGCCTGGGAGACAGAGCGAGACTCCATCTCCCAAAAAAAAAAAAGAAAAAAAAAAAAAAATCAAGAATCTGTAGAAACTGAAAACTGATGTTTTATGAGCATTTTAGTCTTTCAACATCATAAAAATGTAAGATATAAAATTGTTCATAGTTACATCACCTAGAAAAACAGAAGTGAATTCATTATACAAATACATGTGTTTCTGTGGCTCAGTTCTATACTTTTATTTCTCAGCATTTATGGGAAGAAAGGATCTAATTTTGTTTTTTAATTTTTTGAGATAAGGTCTCACTCTGTTGCACAGGCTGGTGTCTAGTGGTGTAAGTATAGCTCACTGCAGCCTCAAATTCCTGGGCTCAAGCAATCCTCCCGCCTCAGCCTCCCGAGTAGCTGGGACTACAAGGCGCATGCTACCACTCCCAGCCAATTTTTTGTATTTTTTTTTAAAGATAGGGTCTTGCTGTATTGCCCCAGACTAATCTCAAACTCCTGCCCTTAAACGATCCTCCTGCCTCAGCCTCCCAAAGTGCTAGGATTATAGGTGTGAGCTACCACGCCTGGCCAAAGGATCTAATTTTAAAGAAATCTTGGTCTATAGCCAGAAAATAAGTAACAAGACTTCCTGTGAGCCTCCCTGTGTGGTGACTTTCAATGTGGACCTACCTGGTTGAAGGCATCTCTCTCTTACTCTTTGCTTCAGATATTGGTGCCATTTTGTCTCAGTGAAGTAGAAAGTTCAACTCATAGGCCAGGTGTGGTGGCTCACGCCTGTAATCCCAGCACTTTGGGAAGCTGAGGCAGGTGGATCACGAGGTCAGGAGTTCGAGACCAGCCTGACCAACATGGTGAAACCCCATCTCTACTAAAAATACAAAAGTTAGCCGAGTGTGGTGGCGCATGCCTGTAATCCCAGCTTCTCCAGAGGCTGAGGCAGGAGAATCACTTAAACCCAGGGGGGTGGAGGTTGCAGTGAGCCAAGATCGTGCCACTGCACTCCACCTTGGGCAACAGAGCAAGACTCCATCTCAAAAAAAAAAAAAAAAAAAAAGAAAGAAAGTTCAACTCATGTCTGTTTCTGTCTCGTAGCCGTAAGCTGGCTGGTCCAAAGGGCCGAAAGAAGATTGGCTGGATGGAGTTCCGCCTCCTCCACTATGCAGGAGAGGTCACATACTGCACTAAGGGTAAGTGGTTGTGGGGTACAGGTGACAGCCATGTGTGTGCCCAGCCTGGTGCCTTACAATAAACTCCGAGTCCACGGAGGAAATGGTGCACGCTCATCCCAAACATTCCCTAACCTTGCATTCAAGCCACTCGAAAAAGTCTTTCTAATTGTATTTATTATTTTTGTAAATAACCACTTTATTGAGATGCAATTCACATATCATCCATTTACCCCATTTTAAAATGTACAATTCAGTAGATTTTAGTATTAATATATTCAGAGTTGTGAAAACATTACCACCATTCATTATGTTTTATTTTATTTTTATTTTTATTTTGAGAGAGAGTCTTGCTCTGTTGCCCAGGCTGGAGTGCAGTGGCGCAGTCTCGGCCCACTGCAACCTGTGCCTCCCAGGTTCAAGCCATTCTCCTGCCTCAGCCTCCCAAGTAACTGGGGTTACAGGCGCCCACCACCACGCCCAGCTAATTTTTTGGTTTGTTTGTTTGTTTTTGCCATGTTGGCCAGACTGGTCTCAAACTCCTGACCTCAGGTGATCTACCCGCCTCAGCCTCCCAAAGTGCTGGGATTACAGGCATGAGCCACCACACCCAACATTATTTTTACTTTTAAATAAGAGTATATTTCTAAGAATCTTTTAAAAAGTAATAACATGTACAGGTATTAGGGTTTTTTCTTTGAATGCAAAGTGACAAAAAGAAAACATTTTTAAATAGGATGAGTCTCTTTGTGCAGATAATCCCTTGATTTTTGTTTAAAGAATAAAGATAATACACATATAGAGCTGTAAACTGCTGACAGCACAGAAAAGAACAAAAGGAAAACTCAAATGCCTTTTACTCTCAGTCTCTCCTTCAGGGGGAACCACAAGAATAAACAGTTTCTTGTAACTACTTCCAGGAAAATAGAAACGTTTTCTGCATATACCTATGAATGTGAGGCTACACACACTCACTCACTCTCCCGTGATCTCACGTTTTTCCATGTAGAAACTGTGTGGTGGTGGGGAGTTTTCCATGTGGTTGGTGCCAGGCAGATGGGGGGCATCATGGATATGGAGATCTGATTCTCTTACCATCTGCTCTGAGATTGTCTACTTCTTTGTAGCACCAGGAATTATGTCATCCTCATATTTGAGTTCTGGGATATTTCTGGTAATAATCTCATGCTATATTATTTCATTTTGGTTTTCTGTCGGGGGAGTGAAGCCAGCTTGCTTCTATGCCACCATTTTTTTTCTTAAACACTTTTGATGCATGCCTTTTTAAAATTTTTATTTAATCATTTTTCTGGAAACAGGGTTTCACTCTGTTGCCTAGACTGGAGTACAGTGCGCAATCATGGTTCATTGCAGTCTTGACTTCCTGGGCTCAGGCGATCCTCCTACCTCAGCTCCCCTAGTAGCTGGGACTACAGGCATGCACCACCACATGCAGCTAAGTTTTTTAAAAAATTGGTGTAGAGACAGGCTAGTCTCAAACTCACTATGTTGCCCAGGCTAGTCTCAAACTCCTAGGCTCAAGCAATCCTCCCACCTCAGCTTTCCAAAGTGCTGGGATTACAAGCACGAGACACGATGCTTGGCTACTCCACCAACTTTAAAAAAAA